GCGTTTTTTTTTTTTTTTTTTTTTTTTTTTTTTTTTTTTTTTTGCGCTCTCCTCTTTCACCCTCGCTTTCACCCATGCCCAACCACAGTACAGGCATCCTAACCTTCCTGCATACAAAACCTAAGTAATTCTACATAAATTCCAAATCAATGGAATCACTGTGCAGGCTATCTCAAAGGGAATTCTTTCCTAAACAAGTCTGTGTGGGCTTTGAGATACGCAAGGCTTATCTCTCTTGCCTTTTTAAAGATGTAAGCCACCTTGTGTCCTTTTTAAGGAGAAAGACGAAATAAACATATTTTAAATAAACAAGTAATCACCCTCAAAGGATTATTTGGCAAGGACATGAGAGCTTTGTTTTTGACCACTCCAAGGCTTTGGAACCCTCTGACAAGAGAACAGGCCCCTTCCATGTTGTCCTTTCACTGACAAATGATTTTTTAAAAAAATCAGACTTTTTAATTTTATTTAAGCCTTTAACAACTGGCCACCTGCTAAGGATAGGAATGTGCTGTTGTTCTTATTCATATTTTAACTGAATGTTTAAAAAGCGTTTTCATCATCATTGTGTTTTAATACTATAACTGATCTAACTGCATTTTAACATTCATAATTTAACTGTATAATGACATTGTGTTGGAGTTTTATTTACAGCTTTGCATGCCATCCATAGGTGGTGGTGGTGCAGTTTAAACCGCAGAAGCCTCTGTGCTGCAAGGTCAGAAGTCCAGCAGTCTATCCACGTGACGGAGTGAGCTCCTGTTGCTTGTCCCAGTTCCTGCCAACCTAGCAGTTCAAAAGCATGTAAAAATGTGAGTAGATAAATAGGTACCACTACAGTGGGAAAGTAACAGCATTCCGTGTCTAGTCGCATTGGCCACGTGGCCACAGAAACTGTCTTTGGACAAACGCTGGCTCTACGGCTTGGAGACGGGGATAAGTACCGCCCCCTAGAGTCAGACATGTCGACAAATTGTCAAGGGGAACCTTTACCTTTACCTATGCTGTCCATAGTTTGAGTGACTGAGATGGCTGTCTGCCTATCAAGCACTAACCAAGCATTCCTCCCAGCTTTTGAAATTCAAAGACCAGCCTCACTGCTGAGTGTTCTATCCCTTTCCTTTCCTTGGCTGATGTAGTTATTTGTTGTTGTTCATCTGTTCAGTTGCTTGCTAGTATGTGTGCACTAAAGAAAACAGTATGGAGTCTGCAATTTCAAACAACTGCAAAAACATTTTTATTCTTTCTTCTACAAAAGGGAAGAATAAGAAACCGTGCCTTCTCGGCGGTGGCCCCTTGACTTTGGAACAACTTGCCGCCAGAGATCTCTGGCACCCTCGCTGGGTGTTTTCAGAAGCCAATTAAAAACTCGGCTCTTTAGGCAAGCCTTCTCTCCTGCCAATACTTGACTTTTACTTTTCTTGGTTTTGCTGTTTATCTTCTCTCATCTTGATTATAGTATTATTGTAGATTTTAATTGTTGTTTTAAGTTGTTTGTGCACAATATATTGTGAGCCGCCCTGAGTAGACTCTTGTCTAGAAGGGCGGGATAAAAAACAAATAAATAAATAAATAAATAAAAATGTCTCAAGAGTGAGTTGAGATTTTAAGTGCCAATTAACGAGAAAGGGATGCATTCTGGGGAAGTTTTTAGTTATTTTATTATGCAACTCTGTCCTTCCATGTAGTAAAAGGGTAATTTTACCATAAATTCAAAACTCTGTAACAGTTAGACACCATGGATCCTGCGCCTATGAAAAAGTATATTAAATAAATAATGCAGTACTGTACTAGAATTGACCTACGTTCCCAATCTACACCAACCAAACAGAATTCATCAAGTTGGTTTAGTTAACCAGCACTAATCATTCCCTATCCCCTCCAGAGTTGTAGTGGAATAAACTACAGAAACTTTGAAGGAAGAAAACTCCTTCA